GTCCACTGGCCCACCAGGCGGTAGCCGGGCGTGCTGGTGTTGCTGCTGTGGAACTGGAAGATGTCGTAGCGCCCCGGGGCGTCCCCGTTCTTGTTGAACATCACTGGGGTGCCAGCACTGCCTGGGGAGGGAACAGGACACAATCCAGCAAACAACAGCAAATCCTCACCAAAGCTCTCATACTGGGTCAGGGAAGGGAACAGGACACAATCCAGCAAACAACAGCAAATCCTCACCATACCCCTTGTACCAGGTCAGGGAAGGGCACAGGACACAATCCAAACAACAGCAAATCTGTATGAAACCCCTTGTATTGGGTCAGGGAAAGGAACAGGACACAATCCAGCAAACAACAGCAAATCTGTGCCCAAACCTGTGTATTGGGTCAGGGRWGGGAACAGGACACAATCCAACAAGCAACAGCAAATCTTCACCAAAGCTCTCATACTGGGTCTGGGAAGGGAACAGGACACAAATCCAAGTAACAACAGCAAATCCTCACCAAACCCCTTGTATTGGGTCAGGGAGGGAACAGAACACAGCCCAACCAAACAACAGCAAATCCTCATCAAAGCTCCCGTATTGGGTCAGGGAAGGGAACAGGACACAATCCAAACAACAACAAATCTTCACCAAAAGTCTCATACTGGGTCAGGGAGGGAACAGGACACAACCTGACCAAACACCAAATCTTCACCAAACCCCTTGTACTGGGTCAGGYGTGAGAGCTCCACCCTACAAACACATTCCAGGCCAAAGCATCCATCCCCCAGCCACCCACCCCAAACAGTCCAGGACACCCCAGCACCCAGGGTCCCCACCCATCCATCATCTCTGCCTAAAATAAACACAGCAGAGTCCGTGAGCCTCACCTCACTGCATTGTGCCCAATGCCAGAGAGTCCCAGAGAGACCCTGAGAGAGCCAGAGAGCTGCAGAGAGCTCCAGAGAGCCCCAGAGAGCTCCAGAGAGCCAAAGAAAGCCCCAGAGAGCCCAGAGATCCCTTCAGGCTGCCCTCATCCCCAGCCCCAGTGAGCTCCCAGCACTGGAACCACCACAGCCCCAGGCAGGAACCTTCCCCAGAGGAGAATTCAGTCTCTGTCTCACTTCCTCACATCTCCAGCAGCACCTTCCAGGGTGACATTTACTTCCAGAAATATTAAAATAGGCTCTGGGAGGGTAGAGTAATATTGTGTCAAGATTGAAGATTRTGACAATCCTCCAGCATATCTATATTCAAAGCTTCCTCCTCCTGAGTAACTTTCTCTCCCYAAAGCAATGAAAAATCTCTCCTGTTGTAGCACTGAACTTTAAGATTATCGTTTTCTTCATGATTCCCATTCTTCATTGAATTCCAGTGAGTGAAAAAAAAAAAAGATTTGAAGGAGTGAATTAGCATAGTCTTCATTCTAGCCCTGGTAAATTGTTTCCCRTCTCTCCTACAATCCCCTGAGATCAGATAGAAATTCAGTTCAAAGGCTGCTACAGAAAATCTCCCACTGAAATCTCTCCTCGCTGGCTCCTTGTGAGCACCAGGCAGATATTTAATTGTCATTACAGATTCATGTAGCCAGAATACATTTGGAGTGGAGACACTTAGAGGGAATCAGCAGCAATGGCTGTAATTCCTCGGCTCCCTGGGAAAGGCAGCACAAATGCTAAATGGGATTTGGCTCATCACCTCTCTTAGGGCTGCTCAGGGTGGGTTAAGCTCAGGTTTGTCAGAGCTCACAGTGGCACGAGCTCAGCTGGGGATCCCAAAATGCAGCAGACACGTCTGTGAATTGCCCAGGACGTGTCAGAGCCCCAGGACATGCAGGAAGGTCCAGCTCTGCTCATCGGGGGCAGATGGACAATGGACAGCACTGTCACGGCCACCCCAAACCTGGGGGGACACAGCCACGGTCACCTTCATGGGGACAGCACCTGAATCCTCCTGCAGGGCCATTCAAAGGAACCCGAGGGTGCCCTCAGCTCCAGCAGGGCACAGCACCACGGGACAGGTCAGTCCAGAGACACCACAGAGCCCCTGGGCACGGGCAGGGGCACACACTGAGCAGCCCATCCCATTTCTGTGCAGCCCATCCCATTTCTGTGCAGCCCATCCCCATTTCTGTGCAGTCCATCCTCATTTCCCAGTGCAGTCCATCCCCATTTCTCTGCTCAGTCCATCCCCAATTCTGCTCACTCCATCTCCATTTCTGCTCCCTCCATCCCCATTTCTCTGCTCACTCCATCCCCATTTCTGTGCACTCCATCCTCAATTCTCTGCTCCCTCCATCCCCATTTCTGCTCACTCCATCCCCATTTC